CAGAACAGGGCCAATTATATTGCATATCCGCCTCTGGAGCTTATCAAAAACCCCGAGGCAAACAGAAGGGGCACCAGACCATATATGGCAGCAATACTCCATGCAAGGGCGAATTGTTGATTTGTTGATCTGAAGGATCGATTCCGAGGAGAAAAATTCCCTGCCGCGGTACAGGGAGCCAACTTACCTTGCGGTGGACGAAGCAATTGACTCATATATATATATATATATATATATATATATATATATATATATATATATATATATATGTGGTGTGTATGTGTGTGTGTACAAATCATGTGTCTATTCTTTTTTTAAAGTAAGGTCATATCAGCAAGCAGAAGTTTTTTTTTTTCTGATGATGATGGCCATGTTGGCCGAAACTAGTCGGGGAATCTAACTGAAATAATAATAAAAATTAAAGAATATTAATATACAACCCAGTGTGTCTGAAGATTTTAATTTTTTAATATTTTTTATTGTTCAATATATATATATATATATATATATATATATATTATCCACAGACAAACTGTTTCGCAATATGGCTAGACATCTGAGATCGAAACTTGACCGATCTGACATTAGTCAGATACCCTTACCCTACGCTATCGGCGAACGGCAACTAAAGTGATTTTTAATGATTTATATACGCGATATATAAACGCCATACGGCTGTCATAGCGCTCAATTCTAACGAAGAGCGATGAATGTAAGTAGCAGCAGCCGTAAAAATCCCTTTTCCCCATAGTGCCCAGGTCATATATATATATATATATATATATATATATATATATATATATATATATATATATATATATATATATATATTGAATAATAACAAATATTAAAAAATTAAAAACTTCAGACACACTGGGTTGTATATTAATATTCTTTAGTTTTTATAATTATTTCAGTTAGATTCCTCGACTAGTTTCGGCCAACATGGCCATCATCAGAAAAAAAAATTCTTCTTGCTGGTATGACCTTACTATAAAAAAAGAAAAGACCCATTTATATATATATATATATATATATATATATATATATATATATATATATATATATATCTCATGCGTCTTTTTTCTTTTTTTTATAGTAAGCTCCTTCTTGTTCAAGGCCCGAGGGCCACTCAAGGTAGAAGGTTAAGTTATGGGTTGGGAGTCTATTCCACAGAGCAGTGGTTCTCGGGAAGAAGCTTTTTGAGTGGAACTTATTTCTCACCTATGTAATTCGGAAGGGATGTGGGAGGACGATAGATGTAAGTGGCTTGGCGATTTAGGTGGTCGTATTTTGGGAGCTCCTCTATTTAGAATGAGATTACGTACGTAAATCAATAATTCTTTTGCTATTGATTAATACAAAAATACATTTATAATATCGTCGTTTACTACAGCAGTGGCAATTTTACATCAGAAACCCTGACATGTGGACGTAATCCCTGTGTGACTCTGTATAAGTCCAAATATTTCATTTTATTTCATATATATATATATATATATATATATATATATATATATATATATATATATGAAATAAATGCATGTATATATATATATATATATATATATATGAAATAAAATGCATATATATATAGATATATATATATATATATATATATAATTATTTAAAAAAAATTATAATATAAATATGTTATAAAATCACTACAAAATAGCCATTTGTTTCCTATCAAGTATGATGCAGATTCAACATCATTGATAAGACACTCAAAGTTGAAACAAAATGGCTATTTTTTAGTGATTTTATAACATATTTATGTTATAAAACTTTTTTTTTTTAAGTAATTATATCTGCTCTACTTGTATTGAGCACTCTTTTAAGAATAGTAATTGTTGGTTATTGGAATGCATTCCGTATACACCAATTATATACTTGGGTATATATATATATATATATATATATATATATATATATATATATGAGGAATTTAAAATTACCTGATAGCTATGATCTTTTCACCTTACAAATTATGATCATTTCGCCTTTATCTTATTACCTTTCAAGGATTTTCAAGGTAATAAAATAAAATAAAATGAAACCAGACCTAAAGCAAAATTTCTTTTACTTTTTACATTTTACATTTTTCTTCCCTTATTTTCTTCTGTCTTGTTTTAAAATCTACTTTAAATAATATTTGTTCTATTATATTATTTACGAATCTAAATGTCCATTAAGGAATTTTATCCTTGATCAATCAAAATTCGTAAACAATTATATAGGTCATACTACAACATGTTTGACACGAGGACTCACACTACATCCTTCTGACCATAGCTCAATTAGGCCTCATTTAAATACTCCTGGAAACCTACTGGACCCTATTCGTAACATACTTGTTGCTAACACAAATATAATAGCATCGTCTACATATAAAAAAGTTAAAAATTATGAAAAGCTTATTAATAAAAACTAAAAAACCAACACTCAGTAATATTAACTATGAACATGGATACAACAACTTGACCATGTTTTGAAAATTGAAATATTATATAAATACAAAAATATTACAATCTATTTTTTTGTTAACGGTTAATATATTTCAACTCCTGAAAATGGCTAAATGTATAGCGAAAGCTCTTGGAAAGAAAGAACAATTGGACAGATTTTATATAATTTATCCTACGAAAAGGAAAAAATTATAATATCACATGAGAAATTGTATAAAAAAAACTAAATCAAAACACCTTGTCTGTCATATTTAATGAAACGTGTATGAAAGAATGGTTGCTGCCTAAATACACAAATATATATATATATATATATATATATATATATATATGTGTGTGTTTATATATACACACACACAAAATATATATATATATATATATATATATATATATATGTATATATATATATATATATATATATATATATATGCTGTATATATTTAATACATGTTGAATCCTTTTAACATAAAATGAACATACCATTTAATCGATATATCGTCTCTCACTCTCTATCCACATATATATATATATATATATATATAGAGAGAGAGAGAGAGAGAGGAGGAAGAATAACCTTAACAAAAAGCGGTTTCATGCCAAGTTTTAATGACACACACCTGTTAAAGTCAGACTGAAACATCCGGTAAACGCAATTTGACTTAAATAAAATCCATTTTCAACTTGACCTGGGTCACATATACACAGAGATGGACATTAAAATTGTGGTAATGACGTTAGTATTTAAAGTGGATGGGTGGGCCGGTCGGGAGGCTTGGCAGACACCCGGGTAGGAGTATTGTCCACGTCTTGTTCTTTAGTTATTGGTACCTTCAGCACAGGTGAGACGAACACACCTGCTCTGGGCCGGGTGAACCACGCAACTGGTGGCCTTTATTACCGTTGGAATCGCAGTCGTTGCTTTTGGATTCATCTACAGCATTGAAATTTTTCTTTTAGCTGTTCTCTCTCACATACTCTTCTCTCTCTCTCTCTCTCTCTCTCTCTCTCTCTCTCTCTGTTTGTCTATCTCTGTCTGTCTGTCTGTCCCCCCTCTCTCTCTCTCTCTCTCTCTCTCTCTCTCTCTCTCTCTCTCTCTCTCTCTCTTGAATAGTTAAAGTTATTTTTCTGCTGGGTAGGAAAGGGTGGGACTTGTTCGCACATATAAGTCTTATTTGCCTTGCCAAAGGGTGAAGGAAATATATTGACGATCGCGTAAACAGGGGAAAAAAAAGACAAATGTTTGAAAGAAAGAAAGAAAGAAAGAAATAAAGATGAATGTTTGAGATAGAAAAAGAAAGAATAAGTAGAACTAGCCGAAATGAAGACAGAAAGAGAAATGTTTGAAAGAAAGACAGAAAGAGCAATTAGAGATTTCTAAAAGAACGAAAGAAAGAAAGAAAGAAAGAAAGAAAGAAAAGAAAGAAAGAAAGAAAGAAGTAAAAATAGATGAAAAAGAAACACAGAGGGTTGAAAAGAAAGAAAGAAAGAAAAGAAAGAAAGAAAGAAAGAGGAATGTTTGAGATCAAGAAAGAAAGAATAAGTAGAACTAGCCTAAATGAAGACAGAAAGAGAAATGTTTGAAAGAAAGACAGAAAGAGCAATTAGAGATTTCTAAAAGAAAGAAAGAAAGAAAGAAAGAAAGAAAGAAAGAAAGAAAGAAAGAAAGAAAGAAGTAAAAATAGATGAAAGAAACACAGAGGGTTGAAAGAAAGAAAGAAAGAAAGAAAGAAAGAAAGAGGAATGTTTGAGATCAAGAAAGAAAGAATAAGTAGAACTAGCCGAAATGAAGACAGAAAGAGAAATGTTTGAAAGAAAGACAGAAAGAGCAATTAGAGAT